CGACTAACAACTAGCGGAATTTGTGTCTACCTCCTCGCTCTTGTTCTTGTATTTGCATTGTTTTTAACTTTAACGATGAAATACCAACTAGCGCAAACGCCAACGTTAGTGAACCTTCTCTTTACACTTATGCACTGCTTCATATGCTTTTGTGGTCAGTTGTTGCTTGACAAGGCAGAGCCTTGTCAAGCAACACCTCAGTTGCTTTTTTATTTGTCACCCCTTTTTAAACTGAAAAAGGAAGAGTTTTAATTTATATTTGTCTCCTTCAATTGTCTCTTTGTCTCCTGATGGCAGAGAGCTGCGCTCGTTTCTGGGCTTTCCCAATTTCTTCAAGTGCTTTTTTGACGGGCTTGTCCTCCATAACCTTAAATCTGCTCTACAAGCTTCTAGAGATAGACAGCCGGTGGGAGGGTTTTTTTATATCAAAGAAAGATATATTTCAGAAATAAAAGGTGTCAGCTCTGGGCATTGTTGAGAAGTATTTTATGTAGATTGTACTCAAAGTACATTGTACTTAAAGTGCTGCTTTAAGTAGGTTTATAAAACGCGTACTTTACTTGAAGTACATCTTTGAGAACGTACTCGTACTCTACTTAAAGTATTTTTTCTGGTACTTTCCGAGGAAAGTGCAACTCCCGACTTCAAACATTCCAGCAATGTGGTCTCAGACAAATTTAGTTCTTTCAAGAACCACGCGCTCGAGTCCTTGATTTCCCCAATACTGTACACAGCTTCTGAGGTCGAGTATGAGAGTTCACCAACCTTTAACAAAAAAGGGCGTAGAGTCATGTAAAAATGCACCATCGTCTTTCGAGACGTCATCCGGTAATTTTTCTGAGTGAAGTGATGGCGGCTATAAGACCCATACAAATAATTCGCCTTTAAGTTGATTGTGTTGAATAGTTCGTAAGCGAGACGAAAGCAACTACTCTGTGGCCACTTGACTTCATCCAAAATTCTCCGCCATTTCCTGAAATAACTGATGCACCCTCGTTACCACTTGGGCGACGCATATCAGTAGAGCCCTGCATATTCGCGGACGTCCGCAGTAAACTGGCGGATGCGGATAAAAATGAACCAGGTTTGGCGTATTGCGGATCAGATGCAGATTCCAGGGGCTGATTCCACGCATATCCGCCTGCCTGGATCTACATTTCTGCCGATGTGGCCCATAAACGTCTGCAACTGCACAGTGTAGAGTGAATTAATGGGTGATACTATGTAATGCATCATCAAATGTATTGCGGGAGAAAGCTATACTCTCTCTGATAAAAGGTGCCAATATGGGAGAAAAGTGTTCTTTACGTCAAGAAAGATGTGATTATCACCAAAGATCGCATTGGAACGTTCTATCTCGCCACACATGCAGTCCTTAAGAAAATAAAGAAGAATGTAGGAGCATCAGTCGTCCCGGGAAAGCGTGTTCTTGTTTGATAGGAAAACAGCAGAAAGCGTTCTTTAAGCAAAGAAGACACAAAACGTGCAAGCCACAAGAAAATAGAAGACACTTGCAAGTGGCTTCTTCGCAGTAGATCGAAGAAACTGAATTGAATCCTCTGGAATGGTGAAACTTGCGCCAGTACGAGCTTCCGCACCTCACTCTTGCAGCACAGTTCGTGCATGCCACCCGAGCATCAAGTTCACTAGCGGAGAGACGCTCCTCAGTAGCCGTTATTAATTTTAAAAAGGCGAACCAGTGTGAACCCGTCCATGTTGACAACATTCTGTTTCTTCTACACATCAACCTCGACAAGTAAAACGTTGCGTCCGTGGGCATTTTTTTTCCTCTGCAGTTGACAGTGAGCTCTTTTTTTTAAGCATAAGGTTTTGACCATGCAGCTGAGGGTTTGTGCTTAAAACTGAACGGAGGAGGTGTTCCCATTGTATTATTTTCTCTGGGGTGTACTCGTGCCTTACCACATATACACGAGTACTTTGCTGCAGTAAGTGAGCACCTTTCCTTTCCCGCTTTTCTATTGTTTGGTCTAAATAAAAGGACACGACAGTGTGTCCTTTGTTCATTTTGTGTTCAAATAATATGCGTCTTCTTGAAATGGGTTATATAAAGCAAAAACAAAAATACATATTAAAAGTTCCATCCTTTTGAGCGCATCTTCTGGACAGAGTGTCGGTGTCACGGACTCTCAAGAAGACGATTTCATAACTGCGATCATCTTTCAAGCGATGCAAAGTGTCTCCGCAAGAATGATCACTTATTTTATAAATACGATGAAATAGAATACGATAAAATGACTTTCACCGTAATTCTGACACGAAGAGTTCTTGGTACAAAGCTAAGCAGACGGCTTATAGATACCATCCAGATGCTTCTCTTTCATTTTGATTCATGCTTGATTTTATGATGTAAAATGAATGTTTGAATTGAGAGTAGAATGTTCCTAATTTTGCGGATGTGGTTCAGGTGCGGATAAAAAATCTCCAGATGCGGATACAATTATCTAAAAACTTTGCAGATGCGCGTACGGATCGAACGCGGATGGTCAAACTATTATCCGCGCAGGGCTATGCATATCAGTTTAAAAAAAAAAAACTGCAGACTCTGCAATTCACTTATAGCAATAACGAGAACACCCGAAAATGCACTCATTATAACCAAATATTGTTGTATCTGGACAGGCTACCCAACGCAAAAACGCATGGTCTGCAAGAAACTGATCGTTAAAAGGAGTGCATCGTTATATGTGGTATCGTAATAAGTCGATTCCACTGTAGTGAATTGAAAGGACATCATGAAGGATTGTTAAAAAGTACTTGTACTTTACTTTGAAAATACGTTGCATTTATAGTATTTTACTGCAAGGACAGTGCGCCCCAAACTTAACGCCGCCACTCGAACGCCCGACTTTCGCGGAGTGGCGCTATCCTGGCGGCAGCCGTTTCAACTAGTCGGTCACGTGAAGGCCATTCCCAATCTCCGGACCGGGGGAAGGGGAGGTAGCAGGGCCACCGCCAAGGGCCTCTGACCCTGCGAATCACAAACTCATATTGTCAAAATTACGTTTTCTTTGTTTTGTTTTTTCGCTTTGTTTGGATTTTAGCAGCGCCTTCAAGCTTTCTCCTCTACAAAGCATTATCAAAATTTCTTTGTTATCAATCTTAAAAGTGCAAACAAAACGCAAAAAAAAACGATTATGAAGATATGAGTTTGTTGTTCGCAGAGTCAGGCGCCCCCCTTAGTGGCGGCCCTACTACCTCTGCTTCCCCCGGTCCGAAGATTGGGAATGGCCTTCACGTGACCGACTAGTTGAAACGGCTGCCGCCAGGATAGGGCCACTTCGCGAAAGTCGGGCGTTCGAGTGGTGGCGTTAAGTTTGGGACGCACTGTACAATGTGCCATGTACACTTACTACTTTCCTTGAAGTACATAACCTCTCATTTTACTTCGTTCTTTTCTTCAAGTACTTTTAGGTGTACTTTACCCAGCACTGGCGGTAGGTTATGAGGAATGTGGTGTGGAAATTCTGAATCAGTGTCATGTAGTGGCGGTTGTTATGCAGCCACCTATGGTAGCTGCTGGGTTAACTGCAGCGAAGACCTACAGACAAAAGAAGGCAGGAGCGCACAGGTCGTATCCCGGAGCTGGCTTATAAATTACGATGCACATCGGCTTTACAGCTTTTAGACATACCTGAAACATGTAGCCCCTTGTGGGCCCTGCGGATAATTCCACGTACAAGTTACCGCCTGTGGCGAACACCTGAATGTAATAAATGTATAAAAGCGCCGAAACAAACGAGGACCAAGAGGTAGTCAAACGAAAACGTACTTGTGTTTTCTCTCTTCGTCTTGGTACTTGTTGTTTTCGACGCTTTTGTGCTTTTTCAGCTATGAACAAAGTATCCAAATCAATAAGTTTACCGGCATGGAAAATCTCCCTCATGGAAGAGAAACAGCTTACTACGGAACATTTGGATTACTAATTACGACCCAAGAAGGCCTCCCTGCCACGCCTGTGAAGCTTCTCTAAGCGAATTTGGTGCAGTCACCTTCCACGTCAAACGAAACGGTGAGGTAGTGCCAATTATTTATGCCCAAAGAGCGTTCTCACCACAACAGCGCAGCTATGCACAGACTGGGCGAGAAGCATTCGTTGTACATTTGGCGGTTTAGACGTTTCTCAAGTACGTGCACGCCCACACACGTACCAGCTTGATCGAGAACCGAAATCAACTTGGCCATGGGTAATCTCTGCGGTTGTCGCCTCTTTTAAAGCCTTTTCTTCTTTCCTTTTTTTTCTCCGAATGCTAAGGAGATTAAAGCATTTCACGCTTTAAAATATTAACAAACTGAGAGGCAGAACGGCACATCTTTCAATCGGCTTGCCCGACCATGCCAACCAATATTCAACTTAAGCGGTGTAGAGCTTTCTCTTCTCTCGATATAAGTGGCTCTATGGCTTGAATGCTGTAATTCTGCAGGTTCTCGCGTAAGAGAAGTAGGAGGAAAATTGACGGCAAATATTATTCCTCACACTCCCGCGAATTATTACAGCCACAGACAGCTGAAAGAACGCAGGACATGGTGTTCTGTATTCGTGCTTCTGCTGCTTCGTGATTTGTTTTTCGGCGTTCTTATTGGCTACTTCCGCAGTGTAATCGGCTGTACTGCGCTAATAAAATGCTCCGGACTTGTCACGCCATGAGTTTGTTAAGCGTGTAGTGACTACAAAATTATCACCAGTGAGGGAGGCAATTGAACTTTCGTTTTCCTTTTGCGCATGTTGACTGGAGATCTGCGGGAAGTTTATATTTACAGTAAGCGTCTTGAGAAACGACCATTCACATGAAGTTAAGTTGGTAAGCCAAAGAAAAAAATATTACATAATAACTTTGACCGCGTGTATTTTTTAAACGACCTTTAAGTCTGCGAAGCTGAATGTGAGACATCAAGAAACCCATTAGACATAGTTTATTAGAAACTTAGATGCGAATACCCGCGAAAAAAAATCCAAATAAATTGCACGTGAGAAGTACAGCCTATGAACGCGGAATGAAGCGCAAATTCTGCGTCTTCGGGATGTTGAAGACGACACAGTCCACAGACAAGTCGACTGCAACACCATCTTCAGGCATAACGATAAACTTCTGCAGGACCCCTGTGAGGTACAGGAAGATCTGAATATTGGAGGCCGCCTCAGCTGGGCACATTCGTTTGCCTGGGGATAAAACAAAATTTCAAAAGAATAATTTGAATCACTTAGTGAAACACTATTCATGAGCATGTCAGTTCAATTCAGCAGAAACGTATTCCCTATCCGAAGCGTAACTCCGTCTGCTTCTTTTGTAGGTGTGGTGTTGACGTGAGAACGCCCAGCTCTGATTGGCTCTGATTGAAAAATGGTGGTAGACCTCGAGGTAGCTTGGTTTTAGCTCTACCCACTATTCTTCAATCAGAGCCAATCAAAATTGGGCGTCGTTATGGCGTCAAATCAATTCCTGCAAAAGAAGCAGACGACTTGCTCTCCGCATACTCCAAAGGCCCCTTCTCACTACTAATACCTCATACTAGTGTCACTAAAGAAGCTACGCTTCAGAGTAACCAAACTTCCGCATATTGTGGCTTAAAATCATGGTTGCCAGTCATCTGAAGCTTTATCTGAAACCACAAGAAACGCTTTTCCGCCCTGCACAAATGTTTAAGCAGTTCGCGACAGACCAAAGCAATATTGCATGAGCCTTCTAAAACTGAATCTAATGCTGGGGAAGTCGGACTTTTGAATCATGACGATCGGCGGTTGCGTCTGTTCTGCATAAGCACTAAAACGGCGGCGCCCACCATAATGTCGGGGAGCAGAGTGTCGATATTAGAAGCGTAGCTCATTTAGTGGCTCCAACTCATACAAAAGAAAGCTCTCAGACACTGTATGAGTGCTTCCCTGCCACATTGGCCAAACAAGAACTGATTGCACGCATGTTGGAAGCATACATTTATGCTTCCAGCAAAAGCATGGTTCGAAGATGATTCACGCATGCCTGCAAATAAACCTGTTAGCCTGTCTTCAGAAAACCTCCTGTCGTTTGTATAATGTATGGGCAGTGTGGCTCCCACTTCACAAAGACAACGACGAAGGCTTTGTGAAAACACTGCATGAGTGCACGGCGTTCTTACTCGAGCTGCTGTCGTCTCTTCTGTACGTTTCACATAAAATCGTCAACTTTATATCTTATAATTACCTTCACAGGGGCTGGAGGATAGGACGACCCCCAACCCCTGTGGTTTAGTTTTTTCACGAGCTGCTTTGGAGCTACGCAGCGTACGCTAAACCCAAGACACAATGCCGAACAAGAAGAAGCATGACAATGAGTAACGCACGCCCGCCGCTCCAGCCGTTGGTTTATCTGCCAAAGAATGCCAGCGACACACAGCAGTATTCAGCGGAGCACAGAAACCGAACGTCGACAGCATGGCTCAAAAGCGATGGCTGCGCAAGCGAACATAACAAGTAGGACGATAACTTGTAGACCAGTGTCCGGAGTTCTTCCCTCTCCAACAGCTGGTAATATTGCCCGTTCTTGGCGACGACAAATCGATGGCGAAGCTTTCTATCGTGCATCGGACAATCTCATTCGGTCTTTTCGATATTTTGAAGAGAGCTGCACCTCTACGCTCGCTTTGGTGTGATTGCCACTCACCTCAAAGTACCTCAAAGCGAAGAGAGCCGACAACGATCGCCCTCTCCGTTCCGAAGACGTGGTGGCTGAGTTTTTTTTATTCAAGCCCGCCGCTGTAGCGTCCACATCGTAGTCAGCCTAAGTAGAGCAGCCTGTGCCGTCACAGGAGGTTAGTCTGCACGACCATAAGCTGCTACAAATCCTGCTTTCGTTGGACCGACATCAGTAAATGTTAGTATACGGCGTGCCGGTCCGTTTGCTCATTGCGCACATCGTTCGTTTGTTTACCCACTAAAGGAGCTCACGTGCTTTTGCGTCCACCCGTCCTCGACCAATGACAGTGCGCCTTTGACTGCCTCGTCCTCGCGCGTTTCCTGTGCCTTTTCTATGTGGCTCTTCGATTGGCGTGCTCCTCCTTACAGTCCAATGCGTCGAAGAGACACCTCCTAGATAAAATGGCCTCAAGTGCTTTATTTTCCTACGTCACAAAAGCAGGCCACCGTAGTCCACAGATTGGAGACCACTACGGCGTCGGTGTTCGGCTAGGACCCGTGTTCTCACTGATTAGACACGTCTCTCAGCCGATCGCTGACGCCGAAGTTATGTCCAATCTCTGGCGTACGGTGGCCTTCATTAGTAAAGCAGAAAACTTTAACACTTAGACTTTCTTATCTAGGAGGTTAGTCAAAGGCATATTTTGGAATGATTACTCGTCGTATAGAGGAGCACTAATTCGTCGCCTTGTTCGACACAGCAGCCGCAAAATCCTGCATTCCAAAAGATGAGTACCGCGACTTACCTAAAGTAGTTATTTCAGCCAGTGGACAGTTATTGCACATGGACAACGGTATATTTGTCCACGCAGCACCTGTAGGACGTGCGAACATATCTGTGCTCCCTGCACGAACGCCCTACATCGCCGTCTTTCTTGAAGTTTCAAACAGTGCCGCTAGTAGTATTTTAGGAAGGAACTTTCTGACGCCCACTGACGCCTTTATAAAAGGTATGTTCAGTGTAGTAGAATGGAATGGTCACGATCCTGCCAATGGTCCTCTGCTCCCTCATCCGTGACTTTTCGCTCCGCCGTTGACCTGCCTTATTGCGCCATCACTATAGGCCGTCATCGTTGCGATGAAATCCGACCCGATCGTCAAACGAATCTCCGCACTTGTCGACACTGCAGAAGAATAATTTTCAAAGGAAGGTATCGTCGTCTCTTGCTCCCTCGTTTCCACAGTGGAAAAAAAAAATCATTTATGTTTGCCTCACTAAGCTCTCCCCAGATTCGCAAGTACTTTTTCTGAATAATGCCTGAATAATGCGTTCCGGTAAAAAGACCACAACATATCGCTGTACTCTTTCCAAATATATTTTGTCTGCCAGTTCTCCCCGTACATCTGCCACCGATATCTGCCCTAATATGAAAAGGCCGATGGACCTCGCATTAGTTGCGGACAAACAGTATTATTAATTCGCCATGACGTAGCTCGCGACATGCTGAAGCGTCTGTTGATCATTTTACTGGTGCATTAGTTTTATTGTTCAAGCAGTGTCAGTTGTAATAGAAATGCTTTGCTGTGTTTTAGCTTACCGACAGAAAAGGGCACCAAGTGCTCAGGCTTAGCAATCAGACCCGAGCCGTCAGCCGTCAGGAATCTCGAGGGGTCGAAGGCTTCCGGATCTTTCCATAGCTTAGGATTCATGTGCACTGCCCACAGATTTGGCAGCACGATCGTTCCTTTGGGAATCACGTAGTTATCGATGCTGATGTCCTCCTCGCAGCTGGAACATAAGTTTTATTGTATGTTACGTGGTTATGTTTTCTTTTCTTTTTGTGGTAATTAACAAAGCACTAATCGGGGTAGATGCCAAGTTCACTTTGTTTAACAGAGTTATAAAACAATATCGGGTTGGAATGCTAATGACTTTGCAGAGGCACACTGGTCCTAGTCTGACCCACGTATACTGGCACAGACCGCCACTGATTCAGAAACTTCTTTGTAGCGGTGAAATTTCGAGGATTAAAGAGGACTATTTAATTCAGTCTTGCCTTCGCCAAGCTTGATGACGTAATTTTTGGATTGAAACCACCCACCCTGACGACACTCGAGCACAGCTTATAGACTGGACACGAGAACGGCGTGAGCGCTCGGATCGTTACAATTAATGCCTCGGCGGACGCTTCGGTGGTGGCTCGTATCCAGCCACTGCTTTGATGAAAATACCCGAACTCTAACAAGGCCCGTGGCTCAGCACGCGTTTACTACTATGCCACCCCAGCACGTGGGTACGATTAGTGTTGCCGGCATAAGGTAGGCACCACTACAGTCCACGTGGCCGCTTGTTCTGGCTCCAAGTTGAGAAGCTGAAGGATGCTCTTATTTCTCTTATTTTTTGGTGACTGCCGGTTCTTAGAAATAAAAACAAAGGCAAGTGTACCAGTTATTAACGTTAGAAAGTGATTTTAAGTAGTATTTAGCGGAAGTATAAAACTCGATTCATTGCTTCTTTAATGAACTCTACATAAACTCTGCTGGCGACAAGTTCTATGAACAAAAATATTGGAAATATTTTTATTCATAATGTTAAGCTTTCTCGATATATCCTTAAAAAAAGTCAGTGCACAGAAGAATGATGCGTTTCATTTAGGAAAGAATAGAGAGTGCTATAATTAGGCCGTAGACGTTCTAGTTTTAGCTGAAAAACACCGATAAACATCCGCCAGTGTCAAAAATGTAAAATTGATTAGAACGAAGAAACACCGATGAACGTTCGTTCCCACTACATGTACATCTAGTAAATGAATTTCCGATAAAACTAAGTGCGTTTTTCGGCACATTAACTGCAACTGAGTTCGTAAACATGACCTACTTGATATACAAAGCGAACCAACAAATTGTTTCACCAACGAACCAGAACACAAATTAAAACAGAACTATTATTTAAAAAAAACATTTGTGGGTTTATGAGTTGTCTTCGTGCATTTCGTGTATCCAGGGAAATGTTTTGAGGCGGATGATTACGGATTGAAAACTCCAGTATCGAGTCACTCCGCTGTGAGTCTTCCACACCGGTTGCAATCCACGTGTGCGCGACGACTTGAGATACTTAGTGCCCCCTCTCGGCCACTGCTGGAATGTCTCGTAGATGGTCAGGTTCTTCCCACCACGAAGAGACGTTATGAGAACCACCATCATCCTTTTTGACGTTCTGGTGGTCTAAGGAGATATATGGTAGTCTGACCCGGGAAACATCAAAACCTTTTGACGGTTTATCCGACACCACCACAAACGTTTTTACAGTCTTTGAGCAAGCGTTTCATGGTCCATTAGCTACCATCTGGAGATGCCTCATAGTCCAACAGGCTTCGTCAAGTAAGCCTGTCGGACCAGTAAAGAAGTCTGATGGACCATCAAAGAAGCCTGATGGGCCATCAAGAAGGCCTGTTGGACCATCAAGAAGTTGTGATGGGTCATCAAAAAGATCTGATGGTCCATCAAGTAGGTTGGATTGACCATAAAAAAATGTCTGACTATCGTATGGATCGGGTACCCTGCCCTCTAAGATTAGTGGACTTTTTTTTTCAGAACTTAACTTTTTTTTTCACTGATAAACTACAATTTTCTCGTCCGTTCAAGCCAGATCAGCAACATACACCGAGATCTTTAAAATGAATATGCCCTGAAAACGTCCACCGATTTTCCTCATAAATAAGTACCGAACAATATCTTCATACAGTTTTCTTATTTTCTTCTGATGTTCGCTGTTTAAGTAAGACAATACCAACATTAACCCTTACACTGTACGTATTTACTCGTGTAATACACGCACTGTTTATGAACAAAGTCTGTGTGCCCACTTATTCGCAGACCACGCGAATAACCAATCACCGCGACTGAGAGAATGATGCCAGCGAGTTACGGGATAACATTCTCACGCGAAAATGTTGTCTTAGCTGGTCGCAATTTTACGGAGAGCCGTGCTCCTAAACGTGCTTTCTTTTACGCTTAACGCGATGATTAGCGGCCTGCGTGAGCTCTCTAAAAGAAGATGGCGGAGCTTTGTTCATGAGGAGTGCGTCTATTACTCTAGTAAATAAGAGATTCCTTTTTGGCACAAGTGTTCCTTTTTTAATGCGATAGCCTTTAAAAGACCACGTGTGCTCTCCTCGCAACTTGTATAGCAAAAGTGGCTCATAAACCACGCAGCAATTTAGAATCTAGGCTCACTACTTCTGATCTCTGCTTCTGATTAGGCATGCAGCTTACCTTCCTCGCCTCTCACTTTTAAGGGGGCAATCTCTTCTGCTCATCCACCAGATTCGTTCAGTAGGAAGGATTTCATGGTTTCACTCAGACATGTATATAACGCGTTGATTGTACCTATCTATTGTTTGAGACGAGCCACAAGGAACAAATTTTCGTTACTTTTTCATGAAGCAACAAGTAACATTTTTTAGTTACTTCCGGAGGGGAACACGCGCAACACATGTAGCCATGACAAACAATAGCGCACAAAAAAAATGAGGAGAGCAACAGAAACGAAAAACAGAAGACACACGCAACTCAAATGTATTGTATGTTGAAAAGAAGAAAGAAGCAGGAACGTGAGGCAGGCTCGGTAAAAATCGCCAGTACAAGGAGCGCGGGAAAAATTTCAACCATAATCGCTAAATCAAAAAAAAAACAAATGTTTCGTTAGTTGAGGTTATAGAAGCTTGGTTGACACATCCGTCTACCAAAACGCTTCAATTATTTATCAAATGAGTGTTGGTCTTTGTATCGGCCTAATGCAATAGTTTTATTTAAATAACGTACAAATGAGCATGTTGTACAGTGCAATAGTACATGGCTCCCCCACCGTAGACTTTAGGGAGAGATACGGAATGGTATTTTGATCAAAACGGGAATTTTTGTTTGTTGCTTAAGCTAGAACTTTAGAACAAATACAGCTGATTTTTGAGGAGCAGAGAGCACTAAGAGGACACGATACCGATTGGACACCTTTTTGAAATTATGGAAAATTTTATATATGTACGGTATAACCACAACCTGCAGTCTCGCCTGACTTTTTTGTCACCTTTGACATTTTTTATCAAGAATCCTACCACATTTGTTAGAACCTGCGACGGTAACCAGATGATTTTTTTTTTTTTTTTGCTTAAGCGTAAAAACGGCCTTTGATAGCACAAAAGGAGGACTTATTTAAGGCCGATGAGAAGCAAGAAGTTCCAATATGCCCTTTTTTTAATTTAGAATGTCAGGATGTGTAATGTAGGATAAATTTTTCAAGCGGTTGAGAAGGAGCAGCAGAGGTGATTGGGCTCTAAAGATATCGAAGGGTGCAAATTTTACACAGTGTTTCTTTAGAAGATTTTTAAAGGTAAAGTCCAAAACCACACTTTAGAAAAATGTTCATAATATTAGGAACCATATCGGCCTTTAGGGATCTTTTGTAGATTTGTAGCAATTCATAAAGGTATTCAAAGACATTTGTAACAAGCGTGGAGCGAATTAACACTTCAATACCGCGGTCAACCTTTGAAAGAAATAGGTCACTATAAATATCGGCGCAACACATTATCCTAAGCACACGCCCAATCTCTGTAAATATCTGTTTTTCTTTCCTCTCTTCGTTTCTCTTTTCTTACATATTTCCCCCAATGAACGTATAATTTAAATAAACGAGCAAAAGTTCAGAAAAATCTGTGGATATTCCACATGAGTTCCTGGAGGAGAATTTATCATTCCCTTCAATGCAGAGCTTCAAAGAGTCAAGTAGATGTTCTCGGGGTAGAGAATCAAAAAGATATTGGACGTCTACGCTGAATACACTGTGAAAGGTAAATTCAGTTGTCCTCAATATTTCATTAACCCTTCCTAATTGCGAACCATAAAGGGATCTTTTAGGATTAAACCAGAGAGCTGTCTTTGAAGGAATCCAGCTCATTTGTCGCCTCCATGCACCCCTCTCGATAACAATCGCTCGAAAAGGAGAAGCATTCGGCTTTTAGTCTTAAAACAAACAGCCAAGTGCATCTTTTCAGCTTTGTTGATGTTGCGAGCAAGCTGGCTCAACGATAGACGTTCACATAAGCTTACAGCACGGTTTCGAACTTGTTTAATAGCTCCCTGCCCAGGTCTGAATGTTTCGTGCACGGCTGTACCACCTTTTTTCATAAAACATTCCTTCAGAGGTTATACAAAAAAACTTCTAATCTGCCTCCAAGAAACGCAGTTCGTTATGAACCAGAAGGTTGATCACAAGTTTAGCATTGCGAACCTGGACACTTCGTGATCTAGAAAGAGTGTCTACATATTTCGAGACACAACGTGGGCTGTCTTCTTCACTGATGCTAAACCCAAACCCAAGTCCAAGCTTTATTAATCTTATTCATTGACATTTTAAGCGACGTTTTTGCCAACGTGAGCAGTTCTGAAGAACGTACGTTATGTTCAACTAAAAGCAAAGTTTCAAAATTTAGAGTTCCTTGAAGGTTTGAAAGAAACGTAATATCGTAATATCGCGTAATATCGTAGGTAGTAAATTGTTTGGAAGCTGGAAGCTCCTTTTCTTTCCGGGGAGATTTAGCCGAACTCTTCACCACAAACAGTCAAGTTACGTCCATTGTCGTCTCGTTCAAATAATAAACGATTTTGCGATGCCGTTCTAGATCACTGGCACTGCACCGGAAGCCGTCCAAAGACAGTCCTTGAAGAATTGTGCCTGGCGTCAATGCTGCGATCTTAAAAGTATGCAGTCCCTTCCCGAATGACTCGCGGAAGGTTTAAGGAATCCGCACAGGCCAAGAAGTTCAGCGGGAAATTTACACTGTTTGATGCGCCACGAAGCAACCCTGGTCCTGAACACGCTGACGATGGCCAGGTTGACCAAAGAACGGCGTTGGTGAAAAGAATAACAATGCATTTGAGTTGTGAGTTAGCGCTTGTCTGTATTCTGCGTTCCGTTCCTGTCCGAGTCCTCGTCTATTTGCGCACTATTTATTTCATCATGTTCAACCAGCACCAACTTGCTCAGTTTACCAACCTAGTACACAGACCAGCTCGTGCCTGAACTTTGCTGGACGAGGAAACGCTAGATGTGTCATAAGAAAAGGAGCACGAGCTATGCCAGTGTAACCATCACGCCCAATGAACTTGTTAAAGCATAGGGAATCAGTAACCCAAACAAATACTAGAAGCGGCTAATGCTTCATAAAAACGAAACGTTCAAAGTAACGAGAAATTAACGCGTAACTTTCAAGCTCACATGACGCTTTTCTTTTGAATCGCGATAACAAGGAATGCAGATCGTTACTTCTTAAGTAGCAAAAGGTACTTAGTTGCTTTGTTTCATTAACGTTTACACGTCTCATTTCACGTAGCGCATGGTGAAATTTTTCAAAGCTTTCTCTCGTTTACCCTCGTGGAATCCCGATTGGACTCAACGTCCTCCAGCGGTAGGTCTCCCAAATGCAGGCCATGGTGAAAGGCATATTGTAACGGTCTCCCCAGGCCGGCATTCGTTGCTGTCCGATCACTCTGTCAATCTCTTCCCAAATCTTGTTCTGCAGACCCGGCTTGTCGGCGCAGTTCAGAAGGTGCCAAACGATGCTGCTGCTTACGGCGCTCGCGCCGGCACTCAGCAGAGACAGTACATGACCGGCAGCGTACTTTACTGGAAGTAAGGGGCGTTTATATTAGTGCCGTGAAAAAATTGATTACCATATCAGTTAAAGTTGTTCTATGTAATAATTGCTACTGGGTTTCTCAATTCATTCATCAAGATGTTGCAGTTCTAAAAAATTCTTTTTTTTTTTTTTTTTTGCGGGCATTCTTTTTTGTTTTGTTGAGCTGCATGATATTTCCATCATATTTGAATAAATAAATGTGTTATGTAAACAACAAATATCACTTAACTACATAATTGCTACTCAGCCGCAGCCAGAAATAATGCTAATACAATGTGCCAATTAATACGTACTGTTTCTGCTGACAGATTCGTTGAGTGCTCTGTGAGAAATTGGTCCCACGGTTGTTTTAGGAGTTTAAAAGGTAAGCACGACTTACGCACGGGAAATGTCAGATTGAAGCTACG